ATGGCATGCAAGAGTTAAGAGTGGCACCAGGGTCCCAAGTCAGATAAGGAACATCATTAGCCATCAACAAATGAGTTTGCTTTGAGGTTACTCGTGGCTGTGTTCACAGGTTTCTGCTATCTCAGGCAATTAGGCTGCAACGCATGGTTTTGTTATATTGGAACTGGTGTGAAAGAGACAATTCCTAAGCTACAGAAGGACGAGACCCAGTAGGTCAGAAGAGTCCTACATAACATTTGGGGCAGTCTATCCCCATGTGCAAGGCTGCCTTCTTTGAGTCCAGGGTGTTCAATTTGGCAGTGAACCACTTTCTAAGTGAAGATTTTAGAAGACTCTTCATGGAGTTTTCAAATGAGAAATGAGGATCCGAGTGTCGAAAATACAGATTTATTCTTAGGAAGTTAACTTACACGATAATTTAAGCAAGTGCAGTGTTATCTCTGATGGCAAATGGAAGTGGTTGAAACAGACCACAAACTAGGAAAGGGAAACCTAAGCTGCTGCCATAGCTCTGGGATCTGGCAGGTGTGATCTCCTTTGTTCTTCAGCCTAGGAAAGTACACAGATCTGGCTACACAGGAGAAAATGGAAGTGCCCTGGCCGATTTCTTCCCAGATTTCTAATCCTCTGACGACTCTTTCCTTTATAGTTAAGAATTAGCCCTGGGCAACTGCACAGGTACAGCGAGGGCAGGGATGGAGGGTCAAACACAGAGGTATTACCTCAGTGTCCCCTCAGCACGTGTGAGCAACACATTCCTTGGGACCACTCCCAAAGAGGTGGCTGAATCAGAGCTCTGAGCAGTCTCTGCCTAAGGTCCCACATACAGCTTCTCACAACAGGGAGGGAGTGTGCTTCATCAGCAATGTCCCACCAGGCTCACGTCACCCAGAGTGACACCCACAAAGAGCCTTCTCCTAAGAGCATTTTGTTTTCACTCAGTGCCATCTTGGAGTGCCAGAAGAGGAGATGTGTTGAGACCTGTGGAAGCTGACAGCTGTGTCGCTATTAACAGAATAGTTACTAACTGCCAGTCTGTGCGGGAGGAAGAAACAGAATGGAGAACAGGGTGAAGAGGGGACGCGAGAAAGCAGTCTGAGGAAGAAATCAGGGAAAAGTGCATCCAGAAATGAGGCTGCTTGTGGGGCTATTAGCTAACATCACCTATGGGGCTGACCAAAGAGGCCACACATAAGGGGGACCCCGTGGGGAGGGAGGTGGAACTCACTTCAGGACACACAGGGAACATAGGTAGAAGGCAGGGGAAGAGAGAAATTGTTACCACGATCTTATGCCATGGATATGCACAGCTTTCTAAAGAATATAAGGCTTTCAAAAGGGACTGCTTAGGTCTATTCATTTCAAGATTATCTGATTCAAAAGCACATGGATTTACTGACATTGTGATTCCAGAACTCTTGTTCTGCCAAACAGACTGGGGAAAGAGTTGATCATTTTGGCTGCATGGCAGCTGACTGAAGCAATTTAGGTCAAAAGAGCAAACAGTGTGGAGACTCTGTACCTGGTCAGCACATGTCTCTTTGTGTGTACTTCTATGTCCACGGTCGTTCTTCTATGCCCACCACCTACAACACTGCAATGAGTCTCCAATAGCCCTGAAGCCAGGGATTGTGTCCAGTTTACCACTGTGACCCCTGCCTGGCCAGGGAAGACTAATCATTTATGTAGAGTACAAATGAATGAAAGAACAAAACGTTTTCTTTCTTGAGTCACTAATTCTAGCTTGAGGAGTTTGGATCTGCTTTTGTAAGTATGAGGAAATAAGGGACTATATTACAGTACACTCAGAAACAAATGAGTATCTCATTTAATAATGAACAGAGACCAATAATGATATTGGCCTGCTGTCCCTTAGTTATTGTTCTGCCAAGTCACCCAATTTGTTAACTGACTCCATTAAAGACCTTAATTTAATTAAATCTTGAGCAAGGCTCAGAAGACCTATGGAGAGCACTTGGTTTAATTGCAGGCAGGGGACAAGCACCAATTTCATTGATCTTGTCAAAGTCTAAGCAATGAAGATGAGCGAAGGGAAAATATGTGGCCCGAATTGCTTTTCAGGCAACATTGATGAATTGTGAGCTCAGAGCTGCAACAGAGACAGAAAGGCAAAACAGCCATAGATTAGCAACACTCAAAGAGACCAAAAGGAAATTAAACATTATTCCCTCTCAAAGACTAAGATCGGACAAACATTAGCCCACAAGAGACAGACCCCTCTTTGGGGAAATGACACGTGCTGGGTGGTGTGGGCTAGAAGCCTTCCAGTATTTAAAGTCTAAAAAAAAACCCTGGCACTCAAAAGCATTTAGAAAATTATTTAAGATTCATAATTGTCTAGAAGTGAAGCTAACCCAACTCCAGGGTAAATATTCAAATTCCAGAGGACGTTTGAAGAAATAATGAACATTCCTTCAAACTTTGCTGTTTGGAGATAAATGAGGTGCACATTATATAAAATATAACAAAGGCACAAGCAGGAGGGGAAAAACTGATACAACTTTTGACTGAAATGTGTATTTGCTCACGTGTGCATAAATTTACCCCAAACTGTCATTGTCAGTGTTAGAGATATTCAAACACCTAAGGCATCTTATGATAAAAAGATGTAAAGGAAAACCTTCCATATTACTTAATCTTGATTTCATTTAAAACAACCGCCGCTCATTTTCAAGCGTTTACTGCCTGCTGACCGCAGTGTAGTTTACTCCGTGAGTGTTATGCAATCACCCTGTACCAGGTATCATCATCATCTTCATGATGAAGCAAACAGGCCCCGACAGGTCAGGGATCTTGCCAAAGACTCACAAGCACCTTTGTAGGTCAGCCTGTGATTCCAAGCAGTCTGCTTTTGGGGCTCTTAGTGGTGGCCTCTAGGGCTAGGTAAAAAGCTCTGGATGGAGCAGACACTGACATTTTTTTTCTTGTTTGTTACAACCAAGGGCTCTTTATGCTTCACTAACCCATGTTAGAGGGGAAAAAAATGTTTTAAATCACAATATATGGTTACAGTGGAGGTCAACATTTCCCTTGCAAAACATGCACCATCAGCATGCACACTGTAAGAGCAAGCACACACTTATTAGACTATCAGTCATAGAGATCGGGAGTGTGACCCAGGAAATTACAGGTGGTGTAGGCCTCCATGCTAAGTCAACTTTGTCAGGATCCCCAGACACAGCCTCTGCTGACTGGGAGGTTTACAGCCCCCATGCGCGTAGGGAGTATCAGATACAGCTGGGTTCTAGAAGCACGCTTCTCTGAGTTCAGAGAGATGTTGTCCAGATAGAGGCAAAAGAGTGACTCCTTAATTATGGCATCACCCACAACGAGGGATAGAGCTGACAACCTTCCAAGCTAGTAATTTATTCCATATCTCCACCCCGTGAAAATTAAGAATATTTACAGACAGAGTATACACAGAATGATTGGAAGTAGAGATAGCTCAGCAGTTAATGCTGGCTTACTGCTCTTCCGGAGGACCAGAGTTCAGCTTCCAGCACCCAAGATGTAATCCTAACTCTTCCGGTCAATACTATAGGCATCTGTACTCTCTCAAGGGCAAATACTCACAAATGGGCACACACATGTATCTACATAATTAAAATAATAAAAACATTTTTAAAAAAACAGAATGATTTACACATGCTGACCTTATGAGAAACAAGTTACTTTCCAGGTTAAGGAGACACAGCAATGTTAATGGTCCATTGGCCTCCTACATGCCTCTCATTGAACCCCACGTGCTGAATCCCCAGTCAGAGGACTGCTGGGGAGCCACCTCCTGTGCTGCCTCAGTTGAGACAGAAAGGAAAGTAAGCTTCGCAATTTCAAAGTGAAGTTTAGAAAGGATGGTTTCTGATAGAAGAATTAATTCTTCCATCCTCAGCCCAATCACAGTTCAAAGCCACAGCCGGACAAAGGAGAACTCACAGGCCCTATCAGGTGAATGCGCATCTTTGGAAAAGTTAGTCCAGTGCTTCGCTGTTGGAACACCAGCATCTTCAGTGGCAGAAACATGTCCTGTCACTGTAGTTCTCAAACCAGCATGGGTCCTCTTGGGGATACCAGGGCATCCCTGCCACTCTCTCACATACACCTGTACAAACCCACACATGTGCACACTACAAAAATGCACATGTATCTATACATACATGCAAGTACACAGTTACCCATAGATGCATACAGTTATAATAGCTTTTTGGTTGGTTTGTTTTTCAAGACAGAGTTTCTCTGTGTAGCCCTAGTTGTTCTGGAACTAGTGCTGTAGACCAGGCTGGCCTCAAATTCATAGAGATCCACCTGCCTCTGCCTCCCAACTGCTGGGATTAAAGATGTGCACCACCACCTCCCAGCAAGAAGAGATTTTTATATTATTCAATATAAATGAGAGGAACTACTATAGAGTTGAAGAAAAACTGGAAAGAATTAAGAGGAAATGTCTATGGTTTCCAATTATGAAAATGTCATTAGACTACATTTTTAAAAATTTTTAATTTTTTTATTTTTTGGTTTTTTAAGACAGGGCTTCTCTGTAACTTTGGAGCCTATCCTGGAAATAGCTCTTATAGACCAGGCTGGCCTTGAACTCACAGAAATCCACCTGCCTCTGTCTCACACATGCTGGGATTAAAGGTGTGCATCACCACCACCTTCATCAGACTGTCTTAACAGAATATCTTATTGAGCTAGTGGAAGATGCACATCCCAATAGAGGAGATTGAGACCTGCAGCCCTGACATAATTTTGCCATCTGTGCAGATTTAGGATTCCTGAGAAGTGTGTTTTTATAATCTTAGTTCTACCCTAAGGATCTTTGATGAATGACTTCAGAATTGGAACGACCTGGTGATTACCAAGACCGAGATTCCTTACGATTCCAGGTTCTAGAATCCTTGCCTCAGATGCCCTTGGCTCTGCCTGCCCACCTGCCCACCTCCCCATGCCCAGGCCGAAGCCAGGACTGTCTGTACACTCACCCTTCTCCGGAGCCTGTCCCGCTCCTCACGGATGGCGTTCATGGTGGCCTTGGTCCGGTTCAGCTCCTCTTCCTTGCTGCACAGCATAGCTGTCAGACTTTCATTCTCTTCCCGCAATCCAGCCAGCTCTTTCTCCCACCGGGACCGCTCCTCAGCCAGGTTGGGATACAGGTCCCGACCAAGAACTCCCTCAATCTCCTCAACTGTCTGAAAAACACAGTCAAACATCAAAGTCACGCTAGCGCTCTTGCAGAAAGGGGACAGGAAGGAGCTTGCGAACCCAGGAGTGGGGCGGAGAGCCCCATGTACACAGTGGCACGGCTTGGTCATTCTCTCCTCAGATTCAGAGGATGCCGTCCATCACTTGCCTGCATCATAGTTTGTACTACTCAGCAGTCCCCAGAGTTAAGGACAACAAGATCCCCTCGTGGTGCTGAGTCTGTGGTGGTACCCACACAGTGTTGACTTTTCTGTCGGAGCTCCAGGGCTGGTCAATTTGCATCACAGCAGCAGGCCAGGGAGCGATCCCGATAATGCAGTGACTAACACGAGGTTGCAGGATGCACACACAGTCTAATTGCAAGTTTCCTAAATTACAGGCCTTCTGTGAGCCAGCTCAGCAAGGAGGCAGGTCATACCACCAGTCTGCGCTCCGGATGTCACACGGGCGTTCAGATGGTGTGAATGAGGTGCAGCCCCAAGATGGCAAGGACAAAAGTAACGCTTTGGTGACAGGAAGAGCTGGCCCTTGGTGGGGGCTCCTCAGACAGCAGAGATGCATTTAGCTAATGAAATGGATGTGAACCAAGTAGAAGAAAATCTTAATAGCCTTTGGAAAGTTCTTTCAAAATTTCCATTTTAGACACATGACTGAAAGATCGGGAAGACACATACAATTAGGAAGACCATTCTCTGCTTGCTCTGGGAACTACTTGTTCATATTGTCCTTTACAAAGAGCATGGCCCAGCTGGCTTTTAAACAGAAGGGGAAAAGGCTGAGCAGAGAGATCACATAGTAATGAGAAACGGAAGATCCCTGACACTAAAGACCCAGCAGCGGGTCACTCACGCCAGGTCCCTGAGGAAGATAGGCACCCAAACCTTGTTGCCTCTGTCCCCATGTGATGCTTCGTCCTTCCTTTCAAATCCAGGACAGTCTATTGGGCTCTGCTTTCTCCATAGATAGTTACCAGAAATCTTGGTCCATCCCTGATGCTGAGGCCAAAGCTAGCCCCCTAGACATCAATACAATCAAATCTGGGACAGTCAGTCGGTGACTGCGTCTCCTCATGGCAAATCCTAATACCTATCCACTGCGACCAAGATAAAGAAAAATGGAAAGAAAGGCAGCTGAACTGGACATGCACTTTATGACTCATCCACAGACACTAACACCCTCTTGGGCAATCCGGAATTCTTCGCGACAGAAACCAGGGGCCGGACTGTCCCTTCACATAAGTTCCCGTAAGACATGGCAGTGTGGGTTGCAAGGTCACTAAGCCATAATGAAGTAAAAGAAAGATACCCAAGGCCCAGGATCAAGAAGGGCCTGCCTTTCTCAATATTCCAAAAGAGGCGAGGCGGTGTACATGCTACGAATTCTTTTTCTCACTCAGTCTTTTCTCAGAAGAGTAAAATACGTGAAAGGCACAGTCAAGGTCCAGCTACCCTGGCTGGGAATGGGGTGACTCATTCAGACCCTTATCCCTCCCTCCTCCAACAGCACAGACTGCGAGCTCACAAGGATGGGTTCTAGAAACCTTAAATCTGTAAGAAAGCATCTAAGGGCAACTTGCAACACAAGAATACTATATAGCGGCTAGGCGTGATGGTGCATAATCCAGCCCTTGGGAGGCAGAGGCAGGTAGATTTCTATGAATTTAAGTCCCCTTGGTCTACAGTTCCAGGTGAGCTAGGGCTACATAATGAGACCCTGTCTCAAAAAGAAAAGAAAAGAAAAATAGTATGGTGGACCACACTGAAGTGACATAGTTTAATGCTACTAATGTGATGGTTTCCTTTTTAGTGAAAAGTCAATGTTGATCATTGTTGATATGCCCCCCTCACGTAATTTAGCCCAACAAATATTTATAAGGATCCTGTTTCTAGCTGATGGCTCAATATGCTTGTATGGCTTTCAGTGACCGATAGGTGTTCAAGAAAACCTAATGCCAAGAAAGCTGACTGCCCTCTCCCCTCCCCATAACCTCAGAAAACCAAGCGGAGAGGGAAGGAGGCCCACCTTAATGGCCAAGTCACAGTGCTCGCTGGCTGTGGTGAGCTGCTCGATGTGCCTGTCCACCTCGGCTACAGAGAGATTGCAGCTGCTCTTCTTCCTGCCGCAGACAACACTCTCCAGCCCCGTCAGGACCCTCTGCAGCTCCGAGTTCAGGTCACTGCAGTTATCTAAGAGGGGATGAAGAGAAAATCCATTAAACAGGCAGACTGGCAATGAATGTTCTCAGCTTCTTCTACCAGAAGGGGACCATCTGGGAGCTACGGAAGAACAATGAAGTACGGCATTCCCAAAGTCAGCATCCTCCAGCCCCATCCCACGGGCTGTTGCCTGAGGCTTGCAGCCAGTACGAACCTATGATTAAGGAGTTTTAGACTTTGGCCATTTTCTAAATACCTGCGCCACTGAGAATTCTCTTGTCTTTCACTCAAAAGCAACCACGCTGAGTTTTGCTAGTAAGAACACAGTGTCCCAGAAAAGACTTCAAACTCTAGTCAAACCCTCTTGCTCGGCCATTCAGAGCAACACTGATTCCAGAAGTTCAGTAAATATCTTATAATTTCAACAACAAACAACAACAACAACAACAAAAAGTCAGAATGAGCATTGCTGAGAGATATTAAAAAAAACAAAAACTGTAAGAAACTATTCCTGCCTTCAAAAAGCTTCAAGTCCGTCCCTGCTCCTGCCCCATACATCACCTGATATTGCTCCACCCATACAATTAAATCCATTTCCTCCACTAGGGGAATAACCAGCTTCTAACAAATTCCATAGCTATCCATATAAATGTAAACAATTTTAATAATTTTATTTTAACAATCTGGGTTACTATTAAATAAACTTCTGGATTCTAGAGTCTGGTCAGGGAAAGAAAATTCATTCTAATATGAGTTAGATACATGTTATAAAATAGTTTTTTTGTGTGAACAAAAATCCCTCTAAAAATCAAAAACCATTTTTCTACCTGTTGTTCCAAATCCTGTATATTACCATAACCTCCAATTATCGTAGCAAGTTCTGGGTGAAGGATAATAACAGTCTTCCCAAGCGAATCCTTCTCCTAAAGCCAGCCTGTATCCTGAATGTAAAAAGCTAGTATCTTCACAATCTCCCTTCTGGTTCCAGGCTCAATGCACTAATAAGATAACTGCTTTTGTTGCTAAGCTTTGGGGCACTTCAAGAAAATGCTCAACATTCTAGAAAATAGATTTCTCAGGACCTTTTAACCAACCTCATTTGACTGCCCACATCTATTAGTTTCCTGAACCTAGAAAACAATCCAGCAGGAGGCTTTTACTCTAACTGATGTATAATGGTTCCATCCTCTCCCACCTCTGTGAATGGAGCCCACCAACGAGCCAGTTACTCAGGTCAACTCTGAGGCAACCTTGATGCCCTTTTGTGTCCCATCTAAGTCCAATCCGCCTTGTCACCATAACCTCCGAAACTCATCCTCGGACTGAGCAACTGTTCTTACTCCCTGCTGACACCACTGTTCCCCAAAGCCCCATTCTTCTCAAGTTGGTAGTTCTAATAACTCCACCCACCGGCTACACTATAGCTACAGTGAGACTCTTTTTTAAAGGCAGATGACGGTACCTTCCTAGGCCAAACTGTTCAATGGCTCCTCCTACCCCTTACCATTAACCTAAGATCAGACTCCTTACCATGGTTGTTAAAAACTCTGCATTTTGGAGGTTCATGTCCTCAGCCCAGGTTGCACCATGGAATTCCTTGGGGAGCCTTTATAAAATGCCAATGCCAGGGCCCCACCCCAGACCAATTAAACCACAATCTCTGGGGGTGGGGCCTAGATGCCGGAAATGTTTTCAGTTCCTCAGATGATTCTGACGTGCAGGCTGGTAGAATCCCGAGGTTGGCCCTCTGCTCCTCTGCCCCCTTGCTCTTTCCTGCTGCACGGCTTCTCTCTGTCCCTAGGAGATGTCCAGTTCTCATCTCTCCCAGATGTTCCTCTACCTATGCTCCTTTCCACTTATCACGCAGTTTCCCCACCAAGGTCCTCCTGTCTGGAGCACGGGGATTCCATCTTCCGTCTCCGCCCGGTCCCCATGCCATTGTCATGCTGTGTTTGCAGCAAACATCACTATCTGATCTGACATGTATGTTCATTATCTTTCCCTTCTAAAAACACATGCTTCTATGAACGAAGGGACTTTGATCTTCCTCATCACGGCGTCTCAGAATAGAACAGGGTAGGGAATCAAAAGCAATTTAAAAGAGTAAAAAATCAGCGCTACACAGTTGAGTCAGCAACATGGAGAAACAGGACAGTCAGCACCAGAATACTTTACATAGGCCTTAAGTTCTTCTTCATTATGCACGGGAGATGCTGACAGTGGGGAGGGGAGATACACATCACACCAGTTCACCTGGACAGGAAAATCAGGGGCTTAGCACCAAATTGAGGCAAAGGGGTCCAAGCATGGAGCAGCTGCCAACACACAGACCAGTCTCTGAATGACAGTTCCCGCTCAGGTGCAGGTTCTCTGGTATCCAAAGCTGGGTGAACACGCATTCCCAGATCTGTGTGTGCGTGACGAAGGGAAAAGGGAGCTTATATTCAGCCGCTCCACACTGTGATCACACTGCCCCCCCCCCCCCCCCACCGATGGTGTGTGAGTCATGTTTGATGTGTCTGTCTGCTAACCGGTTCTCAAGAGGAGAGCTACAAGGTGGCGTCCAGGCCTTGAGGAACAGAAGGAAGAGCAGGAGCCGGGTTGGGACAGCATTTCTAATTCTGCTATTGGACAGTGGCTGAGCCCTGACCACAGTTCCTAAATGAATAAGAGACCATACTCGATTCTGATAGGCTCACAAATGCACGATGGCTACACTAAAGTCCTTCTCTCAGGCAGGGACCTGCCAGCAGCCTGGAAATGTCCCCCTAGAGAGCACAGTGTCACACAGGACAGCCAGAAGACGGGTGGAAGAGGGACATTCAAGTGAACAGACAGCCTGATCTGGTGTCTACTGGTAAACCCAGCCCTGGAGAGGGTGAGACGGGAGGCCATCTTCAGCTATGCTGTGTGTTTGAGGCAGTCTAGAATACACGAGACCTCACATTTAAATAAATCAATATGTTCAAAATGGTCTGTGTCCCTCTGTTCTGAAAGGAGAACTACAAAGCTGTTCATTCTTTTGTTGGAGGGGGGGGGATATTTGCGTTAGAAAGGCAAATGTGTCCCTGCTAGGTGATGAGCCCTCCAATCCCACCCCAGTCTGTTGTTCATACGCACCCTACCAGTTATCTACAGACATGCCACCAACTCTGCCACTGTGCCCCATCTAGAGACGCAGGGAAGGCAAGGTGGTCTGGCTAGCACGAACAGATGCGGGGTGCTGGGGGTGAGGCACCGTCACCAAACATCGACCCCTGCGCCATTCCTCATTTATTGGTGCTGCTCCAGACAGGACCGACGGGAGCTGGTGGCATATCCTTCCAAACAGTCACCTATGATAATCACAAACTTCATCCTTTGGCACACTCTCGCTCCAGGTAGAAACTGGACCTTCCTTCTTCACGCAAAGACATCAACAGTAACACGGAGGGGTTGCAGACAGAGCAGAAGATCCCTCAGCAAGGTGATATTCACAGTAAAACAGAACAAAGTCAGCAGCCCTCACAGCTTAGCAAGGCGTGCAACGCTCAGGTCACTAGGGCACAGTTCCAGTCTCATCAACTCACGGGAGCTTGAGGACTTTAGCTCGGTCACCCATGCAGGAACCGTGACAGAAATTCCTATGGTCAGGGCCAGGTCACCAACTACTGCAACCAGAATAGGGCTCTTTGGGCATACAACCACAAGCCTGCACACTGGTTTCTTAGTTAAGAGCCAGAAGAGCACACAGAGGGCAAATGTATGGGGAATATTAGCTGTGAAATTACTCTGAGAAAGTAAAGGGTTGGCACGTTAATTCCGGGACGAGAATGTGAATGAACCTTAAAAACATTATGTCATGTGAAATAAGCCAGGGACAACGATTCTGCTTTTGTGAGATGTTTAGAAGAAGCAAATGCATAGAGACAGAGAGCGGAACAGAGAGAGCCTGGGAAGGATATATTGGGCGGTTACTGTTCCGTGTGTGCAGGGTTTAGGAAATAAAAGAAGATAATGGTGATGGTCATAAAACTATGGGTGCACTTAAAACGTCTGAACTGTTCACTTAAAAATGTTTACCATGATGCATGTGTGTGTTTACATTATATATATATATATATATGACAAAATAATAAGTATATTTCAGTATATAAATTTGGAACATAAAAGCTAACAAGCGTGCAGGAAATAGAAAATATCACCTTCAAGTTTATGCTTAGTTCAGAAGGAAGCTGAGGGGCTGTTCAGTAAAAATGTCTGGGTTGAGGTGAAGAAACAGAAGAAAAAAAAGATCCAGGAATCTCAGCAACTAATGAGAGTTACTGACCTTTAATACTACAAGCCACACATGTGGTACCTCCGGCAAGGGGCAGCATGGAGGGGACTTCAGCCACGTTAAGCTTTCTATAGAGAAGGGGAAGTGATAGCCTGCTCTACCTCTGCAAGACGGGACACCCTCTGTATCAAATACATATTCTTTAACACGGCTTATTTGTATCATTTCTTAAAGCAAAAACTAGAGGTAGTTTCTGACAAGCCACTGCAAATAACACTGAAGGAAAAAACTAGAAGTAGCTTTTGACAAGCCGCTACAAATAACAGCCAAGAGCCGCCAGCAGGACGAGGGGAACCTTTGGAAGCAAACCCACAACAGCACAGCTGCAGGGACTGATTTTGTCTGTTTAGCCCTGAGCTTTCTGGCCGCCAGAAAAAGAGTGAATTATCTCCTGTCAGTAGGGAGGAAGTATTCCAGCTTCATAAGAGAGACTGTGTGCTTGGCTATAGATCTGCAAGAACTTATGTGCACGGACTTCATCTGTATCGTGACGTGATGTGATGGCGTCTCTCCACCTGTGCCACGGGTATACAGGTCTCAAAGTTTCTTTTTATGCTAACTTTCAGTGGGGAACATCTCGGAAGAGCTAAGTTCAGATAGTATAAGCATTTGGCCTCTGATATTTAATTTTCTCTAACAGTGAGACAGGACATAGAGGGATAAACAGAACAGACCTTTCTTTGGACTAGAGGATGCAAACCTGCCTGTAGTG